TCGTTTGCGTATCCTATTGGTCGTGGAGTAATCAAGCTTTGAAAATCGGGCCAGGGGGTGTGTTATCTTGTGTCATATACGGTACGCATGACATGCCTCCCACGAAATAGGATAGATGGAGAGGTATCGTACAGCAGTAACAATAGCAGCAGTCCCGGCTAGACCGATTCTGGCTTGGAGAAAGGCAACAAGTTGAGGCTTGGAGAAAGGCAACAAGTTGAGGATGGATAAGCTGCTCATCGTGTTGAAAAGCAATTCGGGAAGAAAGGAGACGTGATGATGGTGATGATCGACGTACCGTAGATGATGCGTTATTTCGTGTCAAGAAAAATATACTTCATGGCTGGCTACTAAACTATTTTACAGATCTCGGCCCCTCCCTGTCTGCAGCACACATATCGCACATCATGGATAGGTAGATCAAACTCACACACCAGTAACCAGAACGAACGGCAGGCCTGGCGAGGCTACTTTTTAGCTGCAACTTCACAAAAGAGGGGTCGAGGATGCGGTGTTCTGGCCGTGAAAACAGAAGAAGATTTCATCGAGAAGAAAGACTCATCCGTCTGGCGCTCTTTGCCAATAATCTTCATCCCGTCGCTGTCGTGGGTCGGTCGGTCGGTCGGGTTGGGTTGGGTTGGGTGGGTTTGGTCGGTCGGTTGGTCGGGTTGGGTTGGGTAGAAGGTAGGGTCGGGTTTGGTTGGTCGGCTAGTAGGATTATGTGTTGGGGTCAGATTGGGTTGGGGGTAGGGTGGGTTGGGTCGGTTGATCGGTTGGTCGGTTGGGTTGGGCTTGTGTTTTTGTGTTTTGTGTTTTGTGTTGGGTTGAGTAGTGTAGGGTAGCGTAGGGTTGGGTTGGGTTAGGTAGGGTGGGTTTGGTCGGTAGGTTGGTCGGGTTGGGTTTTGGGGTTGGATTGGGTTGGGGTTGTGTTTTGGGTTGGGTAGGGTAGGGTAGGGTAGGGTTGGGTTGGGTTGGGTCGGTCGGTCGGTCGATCGGGCGACCTTGGGCCGCCTTCGTCGATCGCGCCGCGGTCGCTCCGTCGATCGTCGCCGTCGGTCGCCCTTGCGCATATAAATAAATTAAAGAAACGTACTGCTGTATGGTACATGTAGGAGCGAGCGGAGAAATAAATCAGCAACAAATGTATGCCGTACAGAGTCTAGAAAGGGCGGTTCGGGGGAGCCACGCAACTGGCGGCACAAGGGATGTCAGAGTTGCAAATCCAACGTGCAGGCCGATGGAAGTTGCGGGCTCGATGGTTTATGTGAGGGAGGCGGGAAAAGGGTGAAAAAGAGGTTTCCGCCGCCCTAGCAAAGAAGTGGTAGAAAAAGGTTGGAGGTACGATTCCTCAGCCCGCGATATGGGGCGAGGGTCAGGTAGCCCCACAGGCGTGGAGGCTGACGGGTTGGAGCAAAGACAAAGAAGGTTATACCCACGAGGGGTGAGGGTATGTGTTCTTTCGTATGTCGGTGTTCCACACGGCATCCCGAATTTCTCATTCAGTTTGGGTGTAAGAGTATGTAGAAGAAAAACAATGCCAGAATTCTTGATCAAAACAAAATGGAGCGTTCAGAAGGAAAACGTTGTTTGTGGGCGCGGATCGGAATTCGTAAAATATAGGTGGGGGGGGGGGGTTAGGGTCCCCCCTGGTGGAAGATCCACGGATCAGGCCTGCCTGCAGTTCATGCTCGATACGCACCGCTCGACAGCGGGGAGCCCAAATAATGTGGTACAAAAAGACATAATTATTAGAGAAGAGATGGAAGAAGTGGATATAGGACTGATCACCCTCCCGCCTGGGTGCAAGTGTACAAGATGCAAGTGCAGTGTGCAGTGTGCAGTGTGCACAGCACAAACCGCAACCGCTGTTTTTGGTTGCCCACCGACCTTTTCGGTTCTGTTTGTGCTCTGTTACCGTGTTTGCGGTGGTTTCTTTTTGTTGATGCTGTTTTCGTTTTCGCATGCATGGGTGAGAGTTTATGCATGGGTGAGTTTATACACCTTTTTGGGGAGGGGTTTGGCCTGTGCCGTGCACACACGGATATTTTATTTAGCTTAAAGGTAACTCGAAAGAGCAAGGCCGGAACGGTTTTGCAAGTGGAAAGACGTCGCCTCTAACCCTAATCCATCCTTCATGGTGTAGTAGTACCAACATGGGCGCTTGAGGGTGCGCCAAATTTCTATTTGCGCGCCACACACGCACCACACAGAATGACATGTACAACAACTAATAATAGTCCTACTGCTGTTGGTGAATCGTAGGAGACCCTCTCCGACTTTTCTCCCTGTAACGTTAACTCAACCCTAACCCTAACGCATGGAACCAACCCACCACCAGGGCGCCTTGGCAGGACTTTCGGTGAAGAGCGTTACCCGACAGGAGGTAGCAGAGAACCATGGCGGCGGACACGACAACGACAACGGATACGACGGCAGAGACGACAACAACCACCGTCGATGCCACCCAAGTACTGACCGACTTCAGCGAGGTCGTCGCCTCGCTCAAGGCTTCCTGCGAAGCAGACGTGACCACGGCCGCCCTGTCCTCGGTGATGGGAAAGCTCAAGATCATGGCCGATGCCGTCGCCGCTCTGGACGCCTCCCCGACTCTCAAGAGCATGCAGCTCAGCTCCGACATGGCCGAGCTGGCGCTGCTCTGCCTCCCACCCGACACGAAGGACGTGCTGCTGGGCACCGGCTGCTCGAGCGACCTGGCTCTGGAGCTCGTATGCCGCTACCTCACCAAGCTGCCGGCCCTCGCAAAGACTCTGTACAAGGTGTGACACGCTGTCGTCGTGGCGACATCGTTTTTTTTTCGTGCATGTTTTCCGCGCTTCGAGCGACCCGCGTTAAGCTTCTCGGCCCGAACATGAACGGCTCACGTCTCGCGCCAAGTATTATAATTGGAGGGGCAGACATCCCTGATCTTGCATTTCGGCGCGCAGTGGTTAGCCTCACTCACGCGTGCCGTACTGGCCTCACTCACGTGTGCCGTGCTGGGGCAGAGGCACTTTTGCGGTACAAGTATCAATGCATTTCAACGCCACACCCCTCCCCTGGAACGGCTTCCCCTAAAAACCGCGTCCTTAGTCTCCCATCCCCGAGCGTAGTACTGTACGCCGCCAGAAAATCCTGCCTCATTTTTATCCGAAGGGTCGAGAGCGCCGCCCCCCCCGCGACCCAGAAGAAGACCACGCGTTCCGGCGTTGCAGCACGAGCCTTTGAGGCGCGCGGGGATGCGGTCGGAACGGCAACACTGGTGCCGTCTGTGTTTCGTAGAACGGACTCGCGGTGGGGTTCGTTCGAGATTTTTCTGGTTCACGGTTGTTGTTGCACCGAAAAGGCGTTCTTAATGCACGGCCCGGCTGCTGTGCCGTGTGCGGAGACGCCTCTTTTCGTACGCCCCCCCCCCCCCCCCCTTCCCCCCTAAAAACCCCCCCCCGGGGTTTTAACCCCCACCCTTGTTTTTTGACCCGCCCCCG